AGGTGACATTTGAACTAAGACTTAATCACAAGAAAGGGCAGCTACTTGTCCTGGGAAAGCCTTAGCCAACTCCTCCTTGATTAAGTTAAACTGCCTCCCTCTGTCCACGTATCACAGAGTCATGCCACAGTCACATTCAGTGAGAATAAAGTCAGTGAGGTTTTCTGAGGGAGGAGTATTATTCTTTGATGCAGATGGGCTTCAGTGCCTCCTTGCCTTTTCTGTCTCTTTCTGTGATTGTGACATATTGCAGTCTATGTGTTCTTACGTGGTTTACGTAAACTAACAATCGTAAAGTGGACAATTGGCTTAAAAGATTCTCAAAAAGAAATCACGGATTAGAGAAGATACTAATAACGCAACAAAATGAAAACAAAAACTGGTAGAGCTGATGCTTCTTCTATTCCGGCACGACTGAGTTTACCATTACTGACATTACGAGGTAAATATTCTATAATAAGATGTGACAAGACACTCAAAAATGAGAAAATTGGGCCGGCCCAACGGCGTAGTGGTTAAGTTCACACACTCCGCCTCAGCGGCCTGGGGTTCACAGATTCAGATCCCGGGCAAGGACCCATGCACTGCTTGTCAAGCCATACTGTGGCGGCATCCCATATAAAGTAGAGGAGGATGGGCACGGATGTTAGTCCAGGGCCAATCTTCCCCAGCAAAAAGAGGAGGATTGGCAACGGATGTTAGCTCAGGGCTAATCTTCCTCACAAAAAGTAGATAAAAAATAAAAAAGAGAAAGTATTAAAAATTGTCAATTTTTGCAGTTGAAAACATGGCTGTTATAATATTCATCTGTATTTGTTTAAATTTCATTCTTAAAATTAGTTAAAAATGATATCGTCATATACAAACTCATTTCTGAAGGCAATATTGCATAACAAAATTAGGAAATTGAAGTTGTATGGTTAGAATGATTTCTTGTTTCTAACATTTAACTATGAAAATTTAAAAATATACAGAAAAGTTGGAAGAATTGTACAGAGAACACAAATATACACACTGCCTAGATTCTTCAATTAACAGTTTACTATATTTGCTTTATCCTATAGCTACCCATCTATCCATCTTACATTTTTATTCATTTCAAGGTAAGTTGCAGACATCAATATACTTCACTCCTAAACACTTCAGCATGCATGTCATTAATTAGCATTCAATATATACCCTATTTTTGAGTAAAATTTACCTACAAAGAATGCACAAATCTCAAATGTTTATCATCCAGTGTTTTGCCAAATGCATCCACTGTGTAACACAAACCTCTGTCAAAACAGCGAGTACCACCATCACCGCAGAGAGTGCCCACAGGCCCCTTTCCAGTCCAGCCTCCCTCCAAGGTCACTACCGATTTTTTTCCAGGATAGGTTAGTTCTGCCTATTCTAGAACATTATATAAATGGAATGATAGAGTATATATTATTTGTGTAAGACTACTTTCATACATGCATACATATTAAAGTATAAACAATTTTATACTTTATAATATAAAACAATTTTATATGTCATAATAAACAAGGCAGCATATTTCTGAGGTTTATCCAAGTTACTGCATTATCTGCAGTTCATTCTATATTCCATTGTTTATTCAGTTGCTTTTTTGATAATCCCTTCTATTGATGTACTTCTGGGTTTTTTCCAGCTAAAGGCTATTTTGAATAAAGTTGCTAAATATTCTTATGTAAGTATTTTTTGGACATATGTTTTCATTTTTGGGGTGGGGGGTAAATTCCAAAGAGAAGAATTTCAGGGTCATCAGATAGATGTACCTTTAGTTTTATAAAAAAGTCAGATCTTTTCTCAAAGTGGCCGTAGCATTTTATCCTCTCACCAATTTGTAGGAGAGTTCCAGTTGCCCTCCTTCCTCACCAACATTTGCTGTGTCAGTCTTTTTCATTCTAACCAATCCAGGGGCTTGTGTGTACTGGTGTCTCACTGTGGTTTCTATTTGATTTCCCTTGTAACTGATAGTGTTGAGCACTTTTTCTTGTCCTTATTGGCCATTTGTACATCTTTCCTTGTAAAGCATTGTTCAAATCTTTTGGCCATTTTGATTGGACTGTTTGTCCTCTTAGCATTGACTGGTAGGTGTTCCTTATGTAACCTGGACAGCAGTCCTTTGTCACATGTTTTTGAATATTTTCTCTGTGGCTAACCTATTCACTTTTTTTAATGGCATCTTTTGATGAGCACAAGTTTTTAATTTTGATGAAGTCTAATTTATCAATTTTTGTTCTTTTGTAGTTCTTACTTCTGTGTCCTAGTGAAGAAACCCTCATTTACTATCAACTCATGACGATATTTTCCTATGTTTCTTCTTTTACAGTTTTAGCTTTTATATTTAGCTCCATGATTTATGTTGAATTAATTTTTATGTATGATGTGATGTAGGAGTCGAGGTATATTTTCCCATTTGGGTATTCAGCTGTTCCAGCACAGTCTGTTGAAAGATTTTCTTTTTCCTACTGGGTTGTTTTGGTGCCTTTATGAAAAGTGAAATGGTCATATAAACAAGAGTCATTTACCAGGCTATTTTGTTCCATTGATTTATTGTTGATCCATATGCCAGTCCTACACTGACTTGATTACTGTGATTTTATAATAAATCTTAGAGTCAGGCAATGTTAATTCTCCATTGTTTGAGTACTTTTTAAAGAGTTACCTTTTAATTTATTTATTAGCTGTTCAGCTATATCTTTTTGTACTTATTGTTTAGTGGTTGCTCTAGGAATGATACATCCCTAACTTTTTAGTCTACATAGAATAAATATTGCACCATGTCACACAGAATACAAAAACAGTGCAACCATATGGATCTACTCACCCCCTCCCTCTGTCCTTTATGCTCTAGTTGCCATACGGTAAATCAACATACTTTGTAAATCTCACCATGTTATAATTCTTACTTTAAGTGAGCAAGAATTTTTTGAAAAATTCAAAAGAAAAAAGAGCCTTTCATATTTACCCATATTTATCATTTATGGTGCATTTTAATCCTTCCTAAGAACCCTGGGGCTCTGTTCATTTTTTTTCAATGTTTATTTTATCTCTCTTCTTCAAATTGAATAATTTCTATTGACCTATCATAAAGTTCACTAAAATACAGATATTGTATTTTTCAATTCTTGAATTTCCAATTTTTAACAGTTTCTTGCTGAGATTTTCTATCTTTTCATTCATTATTAGCTTATTTTCCTTTACGTCATTGGACATAGTTAACAGCAGATTGGGAATTCTGGTCAGTTAATTATATAATCCAGATCAACTTGGGCTTGGTCTCTACTGACTATCTAGTCTTTTGAGTATGGGCCATTTTCCTGTTTCTTCCCAGATGAAGTAATTTGGGGTTGTATCCTGAACATTGTGGATGTTATGTTATGGAGACTCTGGATTCTGTTATGTTCCTCTAAAGTATTGATTTTTTTGGTACTGTTTTGTTTTAACAAGCAGTTAACCTGGCTGAACTCAACTGTAAACTCTGTGCCCCTAGGGGAGGTGGCAGGTAATATCCATTACATTAGCCCTAGACGGGCTGCTTAGAGTCTTCCCTGTGCACATGTGTTTCAGGGATAAGCCAGAGATTTGGGAAGAGTTTATATGCAAAATTTGAGCTCTCCCTTTCTGACTCTCTGGGATATCGTCTTTTCTGGATATCCTCTCACTTCTTAGAAGCTGGAGCCGCCTTGATCTCTGTCTTCCAGTCTTCAAGCCCAAAAGACTACAGATTTCTATCAGAGTTTTAGTTTCCCTTCTTGGAACAGATTGTACCCTTACCTCAATCTAATAGGCTTAAAAAAAAACAATCAAGGAATTCACCCAGTGCCATTCTCTTCTTTCAATTAAAAAAAATTTGATTAACTTTTTTTAGATCAGTTTTAGGCTCATAGCAAAATTAAGCAGAAAGTACAGAGCATTCCCATAGACCTCCTGTCCCCACACATGCACAGCCTCCCCCACCATCAACATCCTGCACCAGAGTGGTACATTTGTTACAATCAATGAACCTACATTGACACATTGTTATCATCCAAAATCCAGAGTTTACATTAGGGTTCACTCTTGGTGTTGTACATTTTATGGGTTTTGACAAATGTATAAAGACACGTATCCACCATTATAGTACCATACAAAATAGTTTCACTGCTCTAAAAATCCTCCGTGCTCCACCTATTCATTCTTCCCACCCACCTTGGCAACTACTGATCTCTACTATTTCCATAGATTCATCTTTTCCAGAATGTCATGTAGTTGGAATCATACAGTATGTAGCCTTTTCAAATTGGCTTTTTTCAATTAGCAATATGCCTTCTTTCAATTTTTGACCTTCCCTCTATTATGTGCTTGGTTTTGGTCCCTCTCCAGTGTTTTTAGGTAGTTATTTTGTCCAGAATTTATAGTTGTTATTTGTGGGAAGTCTGATCTAAGATGAGTTACTCAGCCATTAACAGAGAAAAAAGTTTAAAAATACAAATTAGGAGCTGGCATGGTGGTGTAGTGGTTAAGTTTGGCATGCTCTGCTTTGGCGGCCCAGGTTCGCGGGTTCAGATCTCAGGCACAGACCTACACCACTCATCAAGCCATGCTGTGGTGGTGACCCACATATAAAGTAGAAGCAGACTGACACAGATGTTAGCTCAGGGCCAGTCTCCCTCAAGCCAAAATGAGGAGGAGTGGCAACAGATGTTAGTTCAGGGCCAATCTTCCTCACCGCCCCCCTCCCCCCAAAAAATAGCACATTTAACAGGAATAACCAGACTTCTGGTCACAGCTCAAGATAGATATACCAGAGCTGACATTAGATCAGCCTATAATTATTGAATTTCAGGGTTAGACTAGATCTTAATGGTCATCTAGTCTACCAAACAATAACAGGTTTAAAAGTTAATCATAATTCCTATCACATAAGACAAAATAGCATTATTTCATTACTTACGATATACTATTTACAAAAAACATTTACAATTATGTTCTAAATATATGTTACAAACCTGTCAAGGATTTTTCACCTATGGATTTAATTTGTAGAAAAACTTCTCTTTTCAGTGAAGTCCAGTTTTGAAAATTATCATATACTTCATTTTTAATACTGGTTAACTCCCTTTTAGTAAAAGTAAGTAACGAAAGAGTCTTATTCCAGAAAAATGTGTACTCCATCAATCTTTGACTGTAAAGTAGTAAAAAAAAATTAGAATTCTTAAAAACAGCAGGAAAAATAACAAATATTTCTTTGAAAAAATTGTTTTCTTTGAAAAATAGTTTTAGAGTGACCATATAATCTACTGTCTAAGTGGAGACAATTTTGAAAGAGAAAGGAAGTTCTATTTATGTTATGCTACGATGATAGATACAAACTGGGCATATCCCAAGAAGACTGAGGTAGATGGTCACCCCAACTCGCGTCCATTGTGCTATGATTTTAACTGTAAAGAAAGATAGCTAACTATTTTCATACACATTTATTCTATTAATATTTTAAAATTAATTTTAACAGCAAACATTTAGTAAAGAAAATTAGGTCAAAAGTGACTTAGTCACAGAATCTAAATGAGAATCTCAGATTCTTGAGCAGCATTCTTCCTGCATACCATGGCTCTACAGCCAGTGTAAAACCTGGGGTGATAATAAATAAAACCTTTTAAGGCGACTGACCCAGTGCTTTTGCTTCATCAAATGCTAGAGCTCAAAGTAATCACATGTTTTTTGCCATCTCAATGCCTTTCGTTACTTCAGATGTTCTGGCTGTAATTTACCTAATAATCAAGCAAGATACAGCCACAGATCTGGGAGTTACCAGCAAAAAGAGGATGATGAAGCCATGAGAATTAATTATTTGGTTAACATCAATCTTCCTGATAGACTAAGATCTATGATGCAGAGACTGTACCTGTCTTGTTCATCACAGTCTCCCTAGCACCTAGCACATAGCATGTGCTCAAAAAATACTGACAAATGAAAGAATGAGTGAAAAAAACAGATCACTCAGTTGGAGGAATGAAGAAGTGAGAACTGCTGAGGATAAAATACTGGACAACAGCAACATTTATGGGACTAAAACAGAAAAGAATCCCTCAGAGGAGACTAGGGAGGAGCAACCAGTGAGTTAGAATAAAAACCAAAACAATAACATCAGAAAAGCCAGCAGATAAAAGATTTTAAAGAAGAAAGTAGTGGTCAGTGGTTAAGGCCTCAGATAAAGGTTGAACAGAGTCCATTGCATCTGGTATTAAGTTGGGGGCTTTGGTGATCTCAGAGAGAGGCATTAGGCAAGAAAGGACTGAGCAGTAAAGCAGAAATGAGAAAATATTCAGTTATGTGGTACCAGCAATCGAGAACCTTGACTGAGGTGGCAAGGAGAGAAAGAGGAAGATGCAGAGTAGAAGGTGGTTTTTTAGGATGGGAGACAACTGAGTGTGTACACAGCTGAGCAGACAGTATGAGTACAGTCACAGAGGCTAAAAACACAAACAAGATATGTGATCATTTCTGTGCAAAGTCATAGAGAGGACGGATGTAAAGCAGAGGCTGAAAGATTAGTCTTCACCAGGAAGAAGAGTGGTATCATTCTGTGTGGTAATTAAGGTCCACCTGAGTGACCAAAAGTCACAGGGGATGCCTCAATCAGCATGCAGATCTGGGAGCTAAGAGACATGTTGATTTCAAAGGGCAGAGAAAAAGTCCAAATAGATCACTAAAGCAAGAGAGCCAATAGTGAGGATGGGAAATACGAATGTGGAGCCAGGACTGGTAAGACAGGTAGACAAGACCTATGAACTACATCAAGATTAAGGGGCTGGCTAATGGGCCCAGTCTAGGGCAGCTGTTGGGAGCAATGCATATACATGGGGGTCAGGGCCTAGAGGGATATTTAACAGAAGGAAAGACTGGATGTGAATGCAGATGTCTCTGTAGGGAGAAAGGGAGGAAACAGAAAATTCAAGCTTGTTAGCTAAGAGCAGATCCACATTTTGTGGGGCCTAAATCTTATATTATTGGTGATAGGTAGGGGGAGGGCTTTCTTGAAAAAAAAATACAAAAATGATGACTAAAAAATTAGGTTTAAAAGTATGCAATTATTTATAGAATGAGAAAAATCATTACAAATAAAAATTTAAAAGTTGATAAATTCCATCAATATCACAAAGTACAGGGAAACAATATAACTTTTTAATAAGTAGCAGCTCTACAATACTTTTTTGCCTATAATTTTTCGCTACATGCTCTACAAGCACTTCTTCATTTGAGAACCATTTTATTATAATACTTTATGTGGAGAGACTATAAAGATTATACAGCCTTTCATCTAGCATGGCCATGAGATTTTTATTATTGATAGTTTAGAAAGATTCTTTCGGCTTCATAGCTCATTATTGGTAATACCATGTAAACATTAAGCATTGTAAAATTTGGAAAAACCCTTATCAAATTTTTTTCATATATGAGTACAAGATTTTTGGCATTTCAAGTTTTCTTGGAAAATGGCTAATCTTAAATTGTCTTTGAAATGATAAAATTCATGAACCAGTTTATCTTAGATGTCCTTGAAGTGGTATAATATGATTTTTATGTTATGCTCAGTGATGTTAGCAGTTTTTGTTAAATCAGCAAGCAACTTAAATCTTTTTCCAATGTATTTAAATAATTACCTCCTCTTCATTGAATGAATTATGAAATAATACAAGAGCTTTTATTAAAAATGTATCTCTCTTGGGCCAGCCTGGTGGCATAGTGGTTAAGTACGCATGCTCTGCTTCGGTGGCCCAGGGTTCAATGGTGCGGATCCCAGGTGCGGACCTACACACCGCTCATCAAGCCATGCTGTGGCAGTGTCCCACGTACAAAAAAATGGAGGAAGATTGGCACAGATGTTAGCTTAGGGCCAATCTTTCTCACCAAAAAAAAAAAAAAAAAAAAAGTCTCTCTTATGATATAATCTGAAAAAAAATTGTTACAATTTGTTTCTTTATGCCACAATAATTTCTATAGCTTAAATTGCTCATCTTTATTGCTTTTATTCCATTTTTTAAAAAAATTCATACACATCCAGATTTTTAGTGTACAATGACTTGTGTTGTTGAAGCATTATAAACTGTTCTTCCAAATGGCAGTTGCAATGGTGCATTCTCAACTTGACTTCCCTCTACTCAGACCCCCAACACCTGTGCCTATTCCAAAGGCACGCCAACACCAGGAGTGTGAGAGATGGGAAACCAGAGGGACACAATTTTTGACCAATTACAATTAAACCGTCTTACTTTTGCCAGGGCCCTCCCAGAACCTTGAAAGGGGGTCCTGAGTGAGGGGTTCTGAAACTTAAGCATGATTTGATTCACAGTAAATCTACTTGTGTTGATGACCTTAACTTTCTCTGTGAAATATAAGGCAGACCCACAGCTTCTGAGAGATGAGTAGCACAGGGGAGTCTTAGCAGAATAGTGAGGATTTAGAATAGTACTGGAGGAATTGAGGGCCTGGTGTTCAACAACCTGTAAGTAGGTATGAAGAGGGTTTTAAGGGTAAATACAACAAAATGAGCAGAGGTAAAAGGAGACGGAGTATCTGTAAAGTCCTCAATGCAGAAATATCCTCCATGTAGAAACATCCACTACGTAGAAAATCCCAAGAAATACACACACACACACACACACACACACACACATAAATACTAGAACTTATAAATGGGTTCATCAAGGTCACAGGATCCATACATAAAAATCAACTTTATGTCTGTATACTAGCAATGACCAATCCCAAAAATAAAATTAAGAAAACAATCCCACTAATAATAACATCAAAAAGAATAAAATATTTAGAAATAAATGTAATAAAAGGAGTGCAAAACTTGTATACTAAAAACAAAACATTTCTGAGAGAACTAAAGATCTCAATGGAAAGACATACCATGTTCATAGATTGAAAGATTCAATATTTTTAAGATGGCAATTTTCCCCAAATTGATCTATAGATTCAATGCTATACCTATCAAAATCCCAGCAGGCTATTTTCCAGAAATTGACAAGCTGATCCTAAAATTCACACGGAAGTGCAAGAGACCCAGAATAGCCAAAACAATCTTGAAAACAAAGAAATTTGGAGAACTTACATTTCTTGATTTCAAGATTTACTAAAAACTACAGTATTCAAAAGAGTGTGGTACTGACATAAGAATAGACATATAGATTAATGGAATAGAATACAGAATACCGAGATAATTTCCTACGTTCAAGGTGAATTGACTTTAGGTAAGGGCACCAAGGCAATTCAATAGGGAAAGAATCATCTTTTAACAAATGGTGCTGGAACAACTGAACTTCTACATGAAAAAAGATGACTTTAGATTCTTACCTCACATCATTCACAAAAGTTAACTCAAAATGTATCATAGACCCAAATATAAGAGCTAAAACTATAAAACTTTTAGAAGAAACTACAGGAGAAAATCTTTGTGACTCTTGGTTAGGTAAAGTTCTTAAATACGTTACCAAAAGCACAAACCATAAAATAAAACTTTGATAAACTGTACTTCACTAAAAATAACAACTTTTATTCTTCAAAAGACACCACTAAGAAAATGAAAAGACAAGCCACAGACCGAGAGAAAATATTTGCAGATCATACTTCAAATAAAGGACTCATATCCAAAACATATAAAGAACTCTAATAATCCTATAATAAGAAAACAAACCAATGAAAATTATGCAAAATATTTTAATAGATATTTCACCAAATAACCATGCAAAAGGTTAATAAGCATGAAAAGATGCTTAACATCATTAGTCATTTGGAAAACACAAATCAAAGCCACAATGAGATATCATTTCACACCCACTAGAATGGCTACAATAAAAAAGACAAACAGTAAGAAGTGTTGGCAAGAACACAGAGAAACTAGAATCCTCTTCCTTGTAGAAATGTAAAATGGTGTAGCAACTTTGTAAAATAGTTTATCAGTTTCTTAAAGTTAAATATAAATTTATGATATGACTCAGTAATTCCACACTTATCTACCCAAAAGAAATGAAACACAGATCCACACAAAGATTTGTACGTAAATGTTTATAGCAGCATTATTCATAGTGCCAACAAGTGGAAACAATCCAAACGTCCATCAGCTGGTAAATGCATAAATGAAATATGGTATATCCATACAATGGAATACTATTCAGCAATAAAAGGGAACAAAGAACCGATGCATGATACAACATGGATGAACCTCAAAAACAAAAGTGAAAGAAGCCAGATATAAAAGACCACATACTGTATGATTCCATATATCTGAAGTGTCCAGAAAAATGCAAATCTATAGAAACAAAAACAAGATTAGGACATGTGGTGAGATTTACTGCAAATGGCATGAGGATCTTTTTGGGGTGACTCAAATGTTCTAAGATTGGTTGGTAAAGATTGCACAACTCAGTAGGTTTACTAAAAACCATTACATTGCCCACTTAAAATGGGTGGATTTTGTAGTATGTAATAACATCTCGATAAAGCTGCTTAAAAAAAGATGTGAGGTGATAAACTATGGGATCAAGAGTAGAAAATAAAGTAAAGCCAGAAACTGATTGGGAAAATCAGAAAAAATACTGGAAGCCTTAATGAAACTGAAGAGGTCAAGCGAAAGTGAGAGCTGAGAGGGGAGATCTGAGCAGCTGGTATTAAAAATTTCAGAGATGACAGAGTCTGGATTTACAAACAAGAAAAATTAAAGGATAAATACTTTATATTTCAAACAACTTATGAAAGATTCACAATAGGAATTCTGTAAGAGTAAACACTGCTCAAATATTTCAAAACAGATTTATTTGAAATATTGGATTTAGACACAACTTTATATGAAGTGAAGTATACCTATATTGCATACTGTTTTCCAGTATCTATTTCTACAGGTCTTCTAATGTTAATTCCCATTCTCAAAAGACACTTGATTCTGAACGGCAGAGGAGCCGAGCCAGTTGAGGTGTAACACACCCACTCCTGATCACTCACTTGCAAGAGACAGTCTGGAAGGATGGCAGGGAAAACCTAGAGCACAGAGAATACTTTTCTGGAGGCTAGATGATTAAGCTGAATGCAATTAAACATGTGAGAGAATAATTTAGAAGGAGCAATGTGACTCAAAGACATAGTTCACTAATCTACTGAAAGTTCCTTTTGAGCTCTGTAAACAGAGGTGGTGATGTCTGAGTAGCTAAAGCTCGGCTTCTTTCTTTACCCCTTTAAGAGAGAGCATAAACACCCTTTCTTTACCTACAGCAGTCACTGCGTTTATGTTCTAGTAAAGTAAGTATTTTTAAAATAATCAATAAACTAGTCTAAAATCAGCTTTTAGCAATGCAACAAAATCACTGAACTCTACAACCTTTCGGTTGATTTTATGTTCATGACTGTCTTTTCCTATGCAATGTACCTACTAGTGAGAGTATGAATACAATCAGCAATTATTTTTATTCATCCACCACAAACTTTTATTTATTCCAAAATTATTTTTAGTAAGTTCTACTTTTTTATACAAATCAGATCCCAGACTGTCAAGTTGTGATCTTTTAATAAACAAACAAACAAACAAATAAATAAATAAATAAAAATCACAGATCTATTGAAACTATTTGAAAAAAATAAGCAATAAAAGTATAATGCAAAATGATGACAAAATTAGAACAATGAATAAAAATAACATTTAACTTTGTATATCTAAGTTTCTTCAAGAATTTAAAATACCACAAATCACATGCAAAATGTGCATAATGAAGACGGACCCGATCAGTCCATAATATCCTAAAGCAGCACCAATTATTATTTACTCTAGCCCTGGTCTAACCTTTAACATTTAGTCAATCCTGCCATTCACGATGGCATTCACAGATAAAACAAATGAGACTTCCTTAGCAGACCTGGGCCCAAAGCTACTGCAGGAGCCAATATTGAACACTGATGGTCCTGACTAAAACGCAGAGTTGGGGTCACCTAGGTGGTAGCCTGCTAGTTCAATACCAAATTTCCAGGAAAGGGAAGAGATTTCTGATGATAAAAATTGTCATCTGTTTTGTGAGTAGACTCATTCATTTCCTCAAAAATGGTATATTGAGTATCAGTTATGTGCAAGGCATTAATGAAAGGCAGATGGCCAGCAGGTCATCACCAGATAGTGTATAAGAAATTATTAGCCCAGATAATTTTTCTAACAGAACAATGTTTCTGGTAATAACTAGTAGATTGAATAAAAAAGGAACCTAACATTCAAAATATTTACTTGGCATATTTTTTTAGTCATCCTGAACTTGTGTCTCTTTGTCATGTTCATTTAACTTATTTCCCTTTTCTAAAAGCTAAAAGTTACTGAACTCGAAAAGGAACCATTGTTTCTGATGTTCTCAATATATTCAAATTCATTTTTAGAAAAGAAAATATACTTCCAGGTTTCTTTAGAACATTGGGTTTTACCTTTAGGTATTATAAACCCTCCAAAGATTATATAAAAGCAGAATTAACATCATTTATGTTGGAGATTTCTAAATTTAGGAGGTCTAATAGAAAGTTTCCCTAGTCTATTACTTTTCATGTCACTGGACTATCAGTCAGGGGATCAAATACACCAAGAAATACTGGTCAAGAGGGAAATGAATTAGTTACTGTCCTTTAATTCCAAGTGTCACTGCAAAATAAGAACAAGGTGTTTGTCTGATTTAAATTTCATTGGTAAAACTATTCAGTTGAGCTATTGGTTAAAAAAACTAGTGAAGTTGTTTCCATTTTCTTCAACCCCACCAAATATAGAAACTATATTACTAAATTGTGTTTGAATGTTTATAAAGTTAGTATTAAAAGTATCTTTTCAATCTTATAATTTTCCGTTCTTTAAAGATAATCTTACCTGAAGACTTGTGATTGTCTCTGTTTAATTTTTAACGCATGCTGCAAATCACTCAATTCCTTCTGTACTCTCTGAAATTCATTCTGGTGACTTTTTAGCTGCATGCTTGCATCTCGAATTCTAAAAATATAAACAAACAACATCCATTACAAGCTTAAATATTCCCTTTTGAATACTTTAAATTAAAATTTAAATACATTTTTAATAAAAATAAAAGAAGAACACTATGCATCTTTATATATGCTAAACGGATGTACAGAAAAAGTATGGAGAGACCCACGCCAACAGCCACTATCCCTGGGGAGGGGAGTGGAGCTGATGCGTGGGGAAAGGCAATGAATACCGAGGCAGACATAACCTTTACTCTATTTCTTTTGTACTGTTTGAATTTTTACAATGAACATGTATGTACTTGAAATATTAATTAAAATGTAACTAAACAAATATCAATTTAAGTTTTATTAAAGTAATAGATGTACACAATTTAAAATGTCAAATGTTACTAAAACAATTATTTAAAAAATAGTAATCATTTACCTTTATCCCAATTCCCACTGCCAAAAAACAAATACTTTCAATTTTTTTTCCTGTTTCTTCTTGTATTTACCTCTATATTACTAAATAACATGCTTCTACTGTTATTTCTTAATATTTCATTTTAGATATTATTTAGAAAATTAAAAATCAGGGCCAGCCCAGTGGCCTAGTGGTTAAGTTCACGTGCTCCGCTTCTGGTGGCCTGGGGTTAGCAGGTTGGGAACCCTGGGTGCAGACCTACACATCTCTCATCAATCCATGCTGTGGCAGGTGTCCCACATAAAGTAGAGGAAGATGGGCACAGACGTCAGCCCAGGGCCAATCTTCCTCAGCAAAAAAGAGGAGGATTGGCAACAGGTGTCAGCTCAGGGCTAATCTTCCTCACACACACAAAAAAAATCAGTTCAGATCTAGTTCTGCTACATATAACTGAGAATTGAATATGATGGCTTAAATATACAAGGGTATATTATCTCGCGTAAAACAAGTGTTATGGTAGCCAGTCCAATGCCAATATGATAGCTTTTTATAGTGTCATCAGGGCCCCAGGATCTTTTCAACCCCCTGGTCTACCATCTTCCGTGTGTGTCCTTTGTTCTCCTGTTCCATGATAATGGCTGAAACTCCACCCACTACTTTCCCATTCCAGACCAGCAGCAGGAGGAGAATAATGGTTCACTGCCCTTTTTAAGGAGATTTCCTGGAAATATCACTGAATACTTCTGCTAAACTTAGACACATAGCCAAACATAGGTGCCAGTGAAGCTCAGAAATGCTATCTCTTAACTGGAAGGATTAGCACCCAAATATATCCATAGTTCTCTTACCAAGGATGAAGGAAGAACGGATGTTGGGGTAGGCATCTAGCAGTCTCTACCACAATCCTAATAAGAATTGACCCTCCTACACATACCTAAACACCTATACATCTCTCTCCACACACACACACACACACACACACACACACACACAGCTTTTCTCCCCTCATCCTCCCAATATAGTTACCTCAATCTTTTTATCCAGTATTGACATTATTCTTTACTACTGAGCCACATGTTATGCCACAATCACATTTCCTTTCTTGTACAACTTCTTGCTGTCTCTGGATTAAAAACCATCTCCTTTTCCTCTTTCTTAGTTTTCTGTGTGCCTATCACCGATACTTCTTCCGAATCTGACGGGGTGTAACTCCCCTCTCTGGATACCTTCAGACACAGCAGACAACCCTTCCACATCGTTTCTTTTCCAGGAGACGGCCTTCCTAGAGCTCTGCATTCCCCTGCTCCAGTCTGGGTATGCTCTGGTTTCACCACACAGCTGTCCTCCTGGGACTTCGCTTCCTTATCAGTTCAGGAATTGTCCTCAGCTCTCCTTTACGTTGGATCTCCTGTATCTTGGGTCTATCTCTTTCTTGGTTTACTCGTTTTGGTGGAGTAAATCCTCCAGGAGCTTTTTGTGCATGAGAGGTAAATTTGAGACCTTGAATATCTGAGAATGTCTTATTTTACCTCAGACTGGACAGTTTGGCTGGATACAGAATCATAGATCAGGAACATGTCCTTCATCAAAAATTAGGGCACTGTTTCACTCCTTTCTAACTTCCAGTGCTGCTTCTGAGAAGTCCCATGACTTTCTAATTCCTACCTCTTTGTATGATACATAGTAGGTCCTCTCCACCCCACCCCTACCCTAGTTCAGGCGCTTTAACATTTTTCTCTTTTCATTTTGTACTTTTAAATTTGATCACAATATATCATCATTGTCATTCTCTGTGCAGGGCACATGGTGAGTATCTGCTTTGGAAACTGATGCTGTTTACTTCCAGGAATTTTCCCCTACAGAGAACGATTCCTTCCCCTCCACTTTCTCTGTTTTCTTTCTGGAACATCTTTCTAGCATTTTGGATGTGGGACCTCCTGGAGAGATTTAGTTTTCTTACCCTTTCTTTGCCATCTTACCACTTTTGATATTTTGTTCTACTTTCATTATCTTCCATCCTTCCTCTGAAAATTTTAATTTCTGCTATCTCATTTTAATTACCAAGAATTCTCTCTTATTCTCCAAAAGATCCTCATCTTACTACCCCTTGTTCCTGTTTCATGGATATAATTTCTTCTTTTTTTTTTTTTTTTGAGGATATCAATCATAGTGTGTTTTTAAAGTTTCCTTCAGTTCACTGCATTGCTTCTGTTTCCTTTGGGTTTATTTTTGTTCTTTGTTTTGCTTTTTGTCTTTCACATTTGAGGCTTCCCTCAAAGGTCTAGAGATCCTTTGTTGTCTATTCATATTTAAGAATGAGGCACGTAAAGGGCAATTGGTCCAGTTTCTACAACAAGATAATGATGACAAAAGGAGAAAAGTGGGGGTGGGTGCACTTTTCTAAATAAAAGAGAAGCAAGAAAAGTGACAATCAAATGTGACATGTGGAGCTTGTATAGAGCCAGATTCAAACAAATAAAGTTTTTAAAAAGATTTAAAAAAAAAATTGAGGAAATTTCATCATGGAGTAAGAATTAGACAATACCAAGGAACCGTTGCTAATTTGGGGATAATAATACTGTTGTTTTACAAGAAAATGGCACATCATGCTGAAGTAAACAGGAATGAAAATAGCATGCAGTCTTGAATTTGCTTTAAATTACTTCATCAAACAAAAAAAGGAACAGATGAAACACATATGACAAAACCTTGGTAATTTTTTAATCTGTGTTAATGGATATTTATTATTCTACTTTCTCTTTTAAAAAAACCTATATAAATGAGGCACTGAAATGCTGTCTGTAAGCTTCTGCATGTGTGTAGGAATTGTTAAATGATGGCCTTTACTGTGGGGAGATCAGGTGGGGAACTAACTGTTTGCATAGTACCTGTGCCATCTGCCAGAGTCAGGGAACGGTAAATACAAGTCTTTGGGAAGGGAGGATGGGAGAGAAGTTCTGAAAGCCTAAATGTACCTTTAAAATATTTTTAATGAATCTTACTATTTTCAGCCCCACTTTGTATCCTGACAAGTATTTCAGCATACTAAAAGAAAAAAAATCAGCCAAATGTTGCTTTCAGGAGTTACATCTAAAAAAAAATTAACAGAGGAATGTAGAAAATAAAAGGTTTGGAAAATATATACCAGACAGATGCTTTAAAAATGATAAAAGATATTAATAACTAGCAAAATATTAAATGGAACAACAACCCTTTCATTTTGATAAAAAGTCCAATCCACCAAGAACAATGATAAACACGAACTTTTGTATACCCAAAACATAGCCTCAAAATATATTTTGAAATCCAATGAGAACAAATTAATAATCATAACGAGAGGTATTAACACATTTTTCATAGAAATGGAATGGTCACAATGACACGAAAAATAGGTGAAGATATCGAGGATGTGCATAACATAATTAACAAGCTTGATGTATGGATATTGTTGGAACTTACATCTAATAATCATTTCTTCCAAACACATGGTATAATCACAAAAATTGACCATGTAATCAGCAACAATTGGAATTTTAATATATTCTTCAAAAGAAAAAAATCATACATCCACATTCATCGCCCACAATAAAATCACATGAAAAATTAACAACAAAAAGGCATTCAAAAAATCTACATACATGGAAATTTAAACATACATCTAATAAACCTTGGGCCAGAAAGGAAATTATAAACTATTTAGAAATAAATGACAATGGAAACACTATACATCAAAGTACTCAGAGGAAAATTTATAGCCTTAAGTGTATGTACTGAAAAAACAATGAATGGGTATTTTTTTTTTTAATTTTTTGTTTATTGCAGTAACATTGGTTTATAACATTGTAAAAATTTCAGGTGTACATCATTATACTTCTATTTCTGCATAGATTATATCATGTTCACCACCTAAATACTAATTACAACCCATCACCATACACATGTGCCGAATTATCCCTTTCACCCTCCTCCCTCCCCCCTTCCTCTCTGGTAACCACCAATCCAATCTCTGTCTCTATGTGTTTGTTTATTGTTGTTATTATCTACTACTTAATGAAGGAAATCATACAGTATTTGACCTTCTCCCTCTGACTTATTTCACTTTGCATTATACCCTCAATATCCATCCATGTTGTCACAAATGCCTGGATTTCATCGTTTCTTATGGCTGAGTAGTATTCCATTGTGTATATATACCACATCTTCTTTATCCATTCGTCCCTTGATGGGCACTTAGGTTGTTTCCAAGTCTTGGCTATTGTGAATAACGCTGCAATGAACACAGGGGTGCATGTATCTTTACACATTGGTGTTTTCAACTTCTTTGGATAAATACCCAGCAGTGGAATAGCTGGATCATAAGGTAGTTCTATCCTTGATTTTTTGAGGAATCTCCATACTGTTTTCCATAGTGGCTGCACCAGTTTGCACTCCCACCAGCAGTGTATGAGGGTTCCCTTCTCTCCACATCCTCTCCAACACTTGCTGTTTCCTGTCTTGTTAATTATAGCCATTCTGACGGGCGTGAGGTGATATCTCATTGTAGTTTTGATTTGCATTTCCCTGATAGTTAATGATTTTGAACATCTTTTCATGTGCCTGTTGGC